AAATAGCGCAAAATTTGACGGCTCTAGATGTTGCAGAGAATGTTAAACTACTTGGACATGTACTGAAAACAAATGTAGCTGCTTGTAGCTCTATTGGTTCCGGATATTCGGTTCAGTTAGGCAAAATTTATTTACATTTATTAGAGTTATACAAAGCAGTAAGCAAGAGAATTTCGGACGCGATAGTTGAGCAAGGTACGATGACGATTTTGTTTTGACCTTTTATGATCTTCCTTTATATATATAGTTATCTATTTGTTATGCCGCATAGGCTTAATTGCAACAAACTTACATCAACAAAGCAGAAGATCTTGAACAAGTCAAAACACATTTACTGCCAACATTTTTCCAGGCTGTCCTTATTGACTATAATCAGAATGTTGAACCTGCTCGAGACGCAGAAGTACTGAGTGTAATGGCTACTATCATATCTAGGCTAGGGGTAAATACAATTCATTAAGATTTTAACATTATATATGAAGAACAAATTAATTCCAGTTCTAAACTCACTGCAGTATAACTTTTGCATTGACCATTTGCAACAACAATAATAATTCAGTCTCTAGTGACACCTGAAGTCCCACAAATTCTTAACGCGGTATTTGAATGCACGCTGAATATGATCAATAGGAAATTAATAATAAAAGAATATCTCACTCTATAGGATAATTAAACTTACTGCGACATTTGGTTGTTCCATTAAAGTTACAATAAGACGTTCTTGTACACTTTTCGTGGTTTGTGCTGATATCATGTAACCAACAGCTTCGTAAAATGTTTGCACCTAAGAGAAAAATTCAATTGCATTCTTTCATATTTAATAAAAATATGCGATACATATTAGAATTAAAGAGTTACCTGTTGATATGACAAGTCTTGTGTGATCTTATCAATTGTGCCGATGATTTCGTCAATGAATGGATAAAGTTCGCCGGCTTGTTGGGCAACGAATTGTCGTTTGCATTTCTGTGCAATTTTTATAAATGTATCGCAAGCCATATCCTGTACACCTAAAAAAAACCGATTAACGGGCAATTTATAAAGCATAACTCAAGAGAAATTAATAAGAATGATACCTTCATGAGTTTCGTGCATGAATTCAAAAAGTTTATTGACTACTGTTTTCAAAAATTTCCAGTGAGCTTTGAGAAAACGTGGGTACTGCCCGACAATATACATAATATTGGAAGCCACAATAGCTTTATTATCTTTGCCACGTTTTGCCTCGCAAAGACTGAGAAGCTCTTTAATAACTGTAACCAGAAATCTCTTTTCGGTATCTTCATCTGAATTAAAAATGCAATTTCGCACATTAAATTAATAATTAAGGTATAATGAAATGAATTATTAATCAATACAAAATATAATGGTAAAATTTACTCATTGCGCCGGATATGGATCCAATTGCCCAGCAGAGCTTATTAAGGTTTGCCCAGGACCACTCGGTCCCGTCGACCTATAATTAATGAATTCATTTTTAAGTAAAAACATTTTTATGAATAATGCTAAATGATAATAACCTGTTTCGTTAATTTATCTGACATAATAGCTTCAGTATTTTGTACATCCAAGTGTGTAAGGTAAACTAGACACTCGCGCATGCTTTTATATAGCGTAATCGTGTCACTGTCTTTCATAAATTCACGCACGATTTCGCCTTCGTCATTTTCGACAATAAGCACCTTAATGAATATTTCATTATTAATAAAAAATAATGATGCATAAATTTTATTTATAGAAGATTTCGCTCACCTCTTCTGGTTTGACCATGCGGTCAATCATAACCGTTCGTAAAGCAGATAAGATATCAGCATATAAATGTTTTCTTAACTGAATATTAGCCAGTTGTGGAGGTGTGATGCCAGGAGCCATAACAATAGGTATATCATATACTGGCACTTGTGGAATCTCTTCATATAATTCAGCGACCTTGATAAAACAATATAATTAGAAACTCTGATAATAGGATTTTTTAATACTATTTAATAAATGATTTTATTACCAGTTTGGTCCAATATTCCAAACAAACTTTAAACACTTCACGTTCTTCTACTTGCGTTATATAGAGAAGATAATAATGGGCACGTTGCAAATTCGGCTGACTTTGTGGAGTTTCAAGAATCTAAAATAATTGGATAAAATTAATATACGGATATATGATATACTATAATTTTATAATTAGTTTATATACCTTTAAATGTGCACTCAAGAAACTTGTGAAAAAGATTGCAAGGTTTTGTATAAATTCCTGTTCCTCGTTGGTGCTGGTTTGATAAATTGCAGCAATATCTTTAAATTATACGGGAAATTAATATATATATTCTTAATCATTTAAATGTTAAAACATGTGAAATTAAAAAAAAAGAAATTAATAATCATACTTGTATTTTGCGGAATCATTGAAGAGACAGCCGACACAACCAAATCAAAGAGTAAAACAAATTTATCATTATATTGTGCATCCACTTGTAATGCTCCAATTTCAGTTAAACACTTTAATGTTACATTTCGATATTCAGGAATTTCCAGGAACTGATATACTCGGACGATTAGCCGCTTTTGCTTTCCGATGAATACTTTAAACCGATAGGATAATCAAATCGAATCTCTTACCCGTGAGCGCAAAGAATCTATAATATTAGTCTCAAAGATATAGCCGAGTGGAATCCAATTTAAGAATCTTAATAATGTTTCCAGGGTAGCTTTTATCAGACTTGGTTTCTGAGCTTTCTCCAGCACATCATTACATAATTCGAATATTTGTCCAAATTCCTGACACATTTGAGTTTTCAGATTTCTTGTTTTTAATTGTGTCATTTGTTCGGCTGAGTAATCAAAGATTTCTTCACTGCGTTTTGTCCGTAAGTCAAAAAAATCACATAAATAAGGCTCTTCACCTTGTAAAGTAAAAACGAATACTAAATACTATTTGATATGAAAACCTTAATAATTTTAAGATGGCCATGTTATTTTCGCATACAACTAAATTTTGTCTGCCTGTGGAAACAATCTCTGGAATAAATCCTGGCCAATTATGGGGCCATTCTTGTTTGAGAATCTAAATGAAGGGGGAAATGCTTGAGGTAAACATATTTTCAAATTGCATTTATCTACCATAAAATAAACTACCTGAACCAAGATCAAATTAAGTTTATTCAAATATGTCTTTTCTTTACGAAGAGTCTCTTCATTTTCGGAAGTGCTTAGAATTATATTAACAATATAACTGCGAATACCTTTTATTTCAAACATTAATAATATTATTATGGTGGGAAAAATGATGATCTACTTTTTTGATAAATTATCATTAGATAGAGTATACATACCCATTTGCTGTTCAGCAGGAAGGATTTTCCAGCGCGTTTGAATTAATTTTTCAAGTATTTGAAGAGCGAGATACTAAAGAAATCGCCAATTTATTAGCATTTGCTTTTAATCGATTGGATTTGGTGGATTCAATAGTACCTTGGTATAAGAGAACTGTGATTTTTCAAGGATTGCGTCAACTCTCAACCAAGCTTCTGGATGATTTTGAAAGTTGGAAAGTACCTGTTGGGCCAATTGTTGCTAAAACAGTAAATTACGCGAGAATTAGCAAAATCTTTAGACAAACGAATAATTGAAATCACATTTTAATTGCAAAATTCTAAGCAATGCCTGCTTAAACTAACTTCACTGCCAGAAGCCGTATAAAGTGTCTTTACGACTGCATCGAGCTTAGCAACGTCAAGATCTTGCGAAAAGTCTAGAATGCTCTGTAACAAAATGAGAGTATTTCAAGATAATAGATGTCAATTTAGCCTCGAGTACGCGTGACTATGTTGTGAGTTTGCAGAATTCAGCAGGACGTTTGAAAAAACAAAGCAGTGCGAGTAGATATTTACCTCCATGTTAGAAATTCGAGCGAGACTAATAAGAGGAAGGTTTTACAATAAAAAACAAATATAAATATATATATGTACATATAGAGGGTTCCCAAATGTGTGAA